CTTCCTGTCTCACTATGCTATTCTTTCTCTCATATCAGTCACCATGATCCACCTGCCATGTTATGATTCAGCCTTCACTAGAGCTTAGCAGATGCTGGCGTCATGCTCTTGAATCTTGAAGCTTTGAGCTAAATAAGTTTCTTTTCTTCATGTACTACTCAGCATCAGATATTTTGTTATAGATACAGAAAACAGATTAATACACATACCATACATTCATCATTTAAAAGTGAATAACTCATTGGGTCTTAATATATTTACAGGTGTGTAATCATCATCATTATCTAATTCTAGAATATTTTCATCACCCAAGAAAGAAACCCTATACTCTTTAGTAGTCACTCCCAATTACCCTCTCCCCTTACCCCCCCCTCCGTTAAGGAATAATTTACTTTCCTTCTGTATGGATCTGCTTCTTCTAGACATTTAATATAAATGAATTCATATAATAATATGTTGCCATTTGTGTCTTTCTTCTTTCAGGTAGCATGATCTTTTCAGATTCTTTTTGTAACATACTTCATTATTTTTATGTTTAAGTAATGTTCCACCATATGGATTTGTTACATTTTGTTTACCCACTAATCAGTGGATGAACATTTTGGTTGTTTCTATATTTTGCTCTGAACAGCTGAGTACAAGTTTATGTTTGAACACCTAGTTATAGTATAATTTCTAATCATAGAGTAAATCTATGTTTAATATTTTAAAGAGCTTCCAAGGTTTTCCAAAGCTGTACCATTTTTCATTCCATTAGCAATGTATGAGGTTTCCAATGTCTCTGTATTCTCCCAAGGTTTATATTATAGTGTCCATCTGTTTTTTTTAATAGTCATCCTAGTGAAGGTAAAGTGATATCTCAATGTGTTGTTTTGTATTTCACTGATGGATAATTACATTGAACCTCTTTTAATGTGCTTATTGACTATTTGTATATCTTTGAAGCAATTTAGATTCTTTTCTAATGTTTTAAAGTTGAGTTATTTGTCTTTTTACTTTTGAATTGTAAAAGTTCTTTATATAAATATTTTCTCCATTTTGTGAATTGTCTTTTTGCTTCCTTTGCTAATTTATTTATCCTTTGATGCATAAAAGCTTTTAATTTTTATGAAATCCAATTTATTTTCTTCCTTTTTTTGTTTATTTATTTGTTATATCTAGGAATCCATTATCAAATGCAAGCCACGAAGATTTACACTTATGTATTTTTAAAAGAGATTTTATAGTTTCAGCTATTATATTTAGATCTTTGATTGATTTTGAGATGATTTTGTATAAGGTAAATGTGGGTCCAAATTCATTCTTTTGCCTGTGGATAGCCAGTCATTTTAGCATTATTTGTTAAAAAAATTATTCTTTCTCCATTGAATAGTGTTGGTTCCCTTATTGAAAATCAGCTAAGCAGAGATGTATGGGTTTATTTCTGGACTTCAAATTTCATAGCTCTATATGTCTATTCTATGATAGTCTCATACTATTAATTATTGTAGCTTTGGAGTAAATTAGAAAGTTTGAGTCCTCCAACTTTACTTTTTCTTTTCAAGACTGGATATTCTGAATCCCTGCAAACCCATATGAAAGTCATTTATCTTGTCGATTTCTGCAGAAATAGTATTTTGATAGAAATTGGCTGTCTGTGGTTCAATTTGGTAATTAAATAATATTAAGTGTCTCAATTCATAAATATGGTATTTTCCTTTTATTTAAATTTTCTTTAATTTTACTTAATAATATTCTCTAGGGGCTGGGAATGTGGTTCCAGGGTAGAAATGCTTGCCAAGTGTGTGTATGTGTGTGTGTATGTGTGTGTGTGTGTGTGTGTGTGTGTGTGTATGTAGTTTTCAGAGTGTATTTTTTTTATTAAATTTATTCCTTAAATATTTATACTTTTTGATGCTATTGCAAATGATAAGAGGAACAGACTTTTTACATTATTCTTTTTAAAAACAAAATGACAACTTCAGTACAATGGTCCATACCTATAATCCTAGTGACTCAGAAAGCCAAGGCAGGAGGATCACAAGTTCGAAGCTAGCCTGGTTAACCTAAGGAAACCCTATCTCAAAATAAAAAAATAAAAAGGGCTGGGGAGGTAGCTCAGTAGTAGAGCATCCCTGAGTTCAATTCCCAGTATCACAAAATTAATTAATTAATTAATCAAACTTATTAACTAAAGTACAAATGAAATGACATTTATTAGAGATGCACCAATGTGATATGTATGTAAGCATGTATGTATATAAAAATATGTAATATGTGTGCATGTGTGCATATGTGTGTATATAAAATTTATTTATTTAATATGCTGGCTGCATCAGGGAAGAAAAACCTATACTCTCTTCCTCTTCAGGTTGTTGATTTGGGCCCAAACTCCTGAGATTAGAAGATACTTTGAAATAAATATAATCAGTAAATTAATTTATGCTTCCCTTTTCCCCCTAGATCAAATAGAACAAGCACAACCTCTCTGACTCAGGGAGGATATTTCTGAAGTTAAATTTATGCTGTATTATTGAAGATCTGGGTGATCTGGGAAATCCAGGAAGCTCTGAGCCTCAGTTGACTGAAGTATCAAATGAGGATTTACTTTCTAGATTTACTTTATAGAGTTGTGATGATTCCAAAATACAGAAAACTCAAGGGAGCCCCATATGGACACCTCACCTGGCTGGAGCATAGGGCAGTTGGAGAAGGGGAAGTCCAAGAGTTCCCTGAACAGCTGTGAGAGGTCCCCAAGCTGTACAGATGCCATGCCCCAACCTTAGGAAGAAGGCATGATTTCCATTTTACACCTCTCCCATCTTAACTTCACTCAAACTTACCTAAGTGTCTTCTTTCTGATATCAAACACATTGAGTGAGGAGTGCTTCTGCACGGGAGGGAGTAGGACTCTGTCTGAGGTGGCTTGGTGTGGATTGCCTGAGCCTGGCCATGTGAAGGGGACATCCTCACAAAGGAGGATCCTGATGTGGATGTTGGACCACCCAAGTGGGCAGGTGGCCCAGTCATAGGGTGTAAGGTCCAAAGGAGAGTAAGGAAGTTACCGGAGAAGGCAAAATACCTGGCGAGCATGTCAGAGCCTAGGCCAGGTGAGGAGAGTGTGTACACAGGAGTGACTTGGCATGGGCTATCAGGACTCAGCAGTACTAGAGCAGAGAAATATGTTATTAATGACATTCCTTAGATTTGCTGGAGCAATATGCTAACAACTTGTAGATTGTTTAAGATTTTCTACAGATAATGCACCCCCTTAATCCCTGTGTCTTAAGTGAACAACTCCCCACTGCTGGCCTTTGGTATTCCTCAAGCCAAAGTTTATATGGATAAACATAAATAAGTAGGGGGAAAAAAGAAAGTTTAGTGAGAAATGGGACCTTTAGTAGCTTCAAAATACCTCCCCACAAATAGTTCTCATGTTAAAAAAAAGAACTTGGTACAGAATCCTGGCACGTAGCAAATGATCAAAGTAGACACCACCAGGATCTGAACAAATTGAAGTCACATGCCACCTGATGAGAAGGAGAATGTACCATCATTTTCATGGAATCTGAATCCAATCATGAATACTTAAGGGGGAAAAAAAAACCAAAGTGAGAGTCATTCTACATAGTAACTAACCAGTAATCTCTAAAAAGTGTTAAGACCCTGAAAGTTAAAAAGAAAAAAAGATTGAGGCACTATTTTTTATTTAAGGAGAGTAAAGGGAAATAACAACTAAATGGGGGCACATAATTATGAATCCTTTTCCTTTAGAAGACTTTACTGGGGCATTTGGTGAATTTTGCATAGGATCTAAGGTTATTTGGAGATAGTATACACTGTATCTGCAACTTTTCTATAAGTTTGGTATTGATTCAAAATAAAGAAAAGAAAAAGAAGGTTCCAAAATTTATACAACCTTATTGGGGCCACATGGGTGGTAAGTGGCAGCTCCAGGCAAACTCGGGTGTGTCTGCCTCCTAAAGCTTCACCCTCCTTGCAAACCACTGGCCCTGGACATCTCAGCTAGTCTCTCTTCTTATTCAGCTGCACCTGGATTTGCTCCCCACCTACCCCAGCTCTATGCTAGACATGGCTACCCCATCCACACCTATCCAGAACCCACCTGAAGGGCATGTAGCAGTAGCACCAGGGCAGCTGGGAGTACTCAGTGATTTAAGGGGGTGCCACCTGGCTTCTTGTCCTAGGAGTGAGGTACTGCCAGCTGAGCTTCTAATTCCTAGAAGTTCTCCATACTTCCCAAGAATTTCAAGATTTTTCAAACTACATAGTAGGAAGCCTGGGGATTTTCCTTGTCTTGGTTCCTTGTGGTTACCATCTTTGCAGTTAGGAATTCCTTCTTACTTAAGCAAGTCTAATAGACTATCTCATTAATTAGGATTTTAGATATCATTTGGTCACTTAAAATCATCACCTTTGCAGTTACCTGACATCACCTATGGCCCCAAACAGAAACTGATGCTGTCCTGTGAACTTCCAGGCACTGTCCTGCCTCCCCACGGCTGAACCAGCTGGGACAGAGGAAAACGGAACATGCCACCTGTTTATCTGTTACTCTGCTCATATACCTACCAATTCAGCCACAAGGCCACAGGGGCAGGGGCTGGTAATCCTGGGGACTCAACAGTGAACAAACCAAAGGACAGACAGTATTCTCCCGTTCAAACTGACCACTCTAAACTAGAGCCACCAGTCTCTGTACTGTTTGAAACCAAACCAGGAATCAAATGCACCTCCATCACTACCTAGGTAAAAGATTTCATCCTTTACTGTAGAAAAGTTGTTAGGAATAGAGTGGGTGTCCTCAGGTGGAGGGAAATTCCCCTTCTTACAGATCTGGAGTTTTTCTTTAGGGATTCTGGGCTCTCTTCAAGTGTTCCTCCAGCCTGAGGGCTCTGTGGGGAAATGTGATATGTACACGAGAGGCCCTCCAGGAAGGAGAGGGCTCTTAAGATAGGGGCCTCTCAGGGACTGGGAGGAAGCCTGTCAGCCCACATCCTTATAAATGGTGCTCTCCACTCTGACTTGGAGGCAGAGATCCACCAAGACGGAAGCCTGTGTGTGGGTGAGCTGAGCCCCCATTTCCTCGTATATGGGTATATGGGCCCTCTCTAGCATAAGGATTCCAGGACCAGCCTAAGAGCCACAGTACTAACTAAGGGCCTGAGAAGGAAGGGGTTCCCCATCATTGACTGCTATATAGGGGATAGGCCATGGACCCTGGTAATATCTATCCATTCTGAGGTTCATGATTCCTTAGAACCCAAAAAGAGGGTAACTGGGAATTTTGAGGGACATATGGATTGCATTCCCATATCTATCAGGGAGTGAAGGACAACTGGAAGGGATGGGTCCGGATTGTGTCCACAACACTGTAGTTCATCTGTAGGTCAGAGAGGTGCAATGAATACCCCAGGGCCACACTGGGACATGCTAACAGAGAAGACACTCTGTGAGAACCAGGCTGCTGACTCTCCAAAGTTCTACCCCTCACCTGCCCAAGGACCACACCACCTCAGATCAGAGGCATGGGATATAAGACCAGGCTAGATACTGTACGATGCTGGGAATTCCTGTGCATGGATAGTTTGGGTCTTCAGTTCTTCCCAGTACTCTTATTTGGACTGGATTGGCCCTCAGACTCTGCCATAATATTCCTGAGTTCTAACAAACACAGCAAATGTAAAGAGTTAAGGGGAGACATTAGCAAATTCTGCAGATGGGTCAGTGGCCCTTCTCTTCAGCAGGAGAAGCAGCTGGGACAGGAGCCATGTTGCTGTACACTTTGGCCCTCACCCTCACCTTGATGGCAGTTTCTGGCATCATGATCAATGGGACAGAAGTCTGTGTTGGAAGCCCGGGTATCCCTGGCACTCCTGGATCCCATGGCTTGCCAGGCAGAGATGGGAGAGATGGTGTCAAGGGAGACCCTGGACCTCCAGGTATTGTGTTGGAGATCCCATCCTCCACTGAGGGGCAGGGACACATTTTTTAGGCCCCTTTGACCAGGGCTGTATGTTGGGTTTCAAGACTCAGTTGGCTGGGACATAGTGGGGGTTTCCTAGGGCACTTAGGCTGGAACATCTGGAGAGTATATCTTCAAAGTGTCCATATAATGTTAAGTGAATTCACTCAGATGGAAGTTGAGGTCCACACAACCATGTCCTCTTCTCTCTACAGGTCCCATGGGCCCTCCAGGAGGAATGCCAGGTCTCCCTGGGCGTGACGGGTTGACTGGAGCCCCCGGTGTCCCTGGAGAGCGTGGAGACAAGGGGGAGCCTGGTGAAAGGGGCCTTCCAGGTGAGTGGGAGCCAGGGGAGAGGATGGGCAGGGGGGACATGGACATAATGCCTATGCAGTTAGCAACATGGAGTAACTGAGGTGCCTGTGGCATACTGCTCAACCTAATTAATGATATGTGAGGTTGAAGACAGAAGTCAGAGGTGTTCAAGTAACGTGGTCACAATTCAGGGACTGATGGGTATAGGAAGTGTTCCATGCATTGTGACTGCTTATGGAGAGATAAAAGGTGTCAGGTGAAGGAAGAGGACAACACTGGGAGTCATAGCCCTCCATGGGACTGAGGCTTTTGGGCATTCTGAAAGGTATACAGGGTTATGTGCATGAGGGATCCAGGAAAAGGTTATGATCAGGAATCCCAAGTGTGCAAGGGAACTCCATAGCTCTGAGTACTATCAAGATCTATCAGGAGAATGCAAAAGCAATTATATTCATCCTGGTTGGAAGGTGGAGGAGAGGACCTTTTCTAGAGGTCAGAAAAGCACTCAAAGGTGGGCAAGCAGAGCCATTCAGGAGATATGACATGAAAGAGAGCAGAAAGAGGTTCATCAGGGGCACAGCTGCATTAAAGGAAGATAGGTGTTTACAGAGTATGGAAACATTCCACCTTGTGGACCCTCATGCCTGCACGGGGGATGCAGACAATTAGAGGGCAGGGTTCCAGGGTTACAGTGGGCAAAACATCTGTGGGCAGCAAGTTGGGATCTTGTTTGCTTGCCCCTCATCCTGGTGGGGGTCTCTCCATAGGATTTCCATCTTATCTAGATGAGGAGCTCCAAACCACACTTGAGGAATTCAGGCATCAAATCTTGCAGTCAATGGGAGGTAAGGGGACTCCTTGGGGCCACAAAGGGTGGAGTTACTCCCAGATTCTGGAGACTATAGACCTGAAAAGCAAGTGTGAATCTGCAGGTTTGGGATAAGGAATGATGCTTTCCTTTTCTGAAGTCTCTAATGGTCCAGAAAAGAGAGAAGTAGACACAGATTTGCTCCCAATTTCCTAGGAGAGCATGTTCTCTGCCCATCCTGCTTTCTCTTGCATCCCAGAAAATTTCACAGTTCCTGGCAATAAGTAAATGTTAAGGAGGTGAATGAATGAATGAATGAAAAGATGGATGGATGAAAGCAGAGAGAGGAATTTATAAAACTGATTGGAAAAGGAAGGGAAGGAAGAGAGGGGCAGAGACAAAGAGATTGGAGAGAGCCTAATGGTAGAGACCCTGAGGAAGTAAGATGGATGTGGAGACAGAGATTGGTGGCCTAACCCAGATTCCTCTGCTCTTAGTCCTCAGCTTGCAGGGGTCCATGCTGGCAGTTGGAAAGAAGATCTTCTCCACCAATGGGCAATCGTTCAACTTTGATGACATTAGTGAGTCTTGTGCCAAAGCAGGTGGCAACATTGCTGCCCCAAGGAATCCAGAGGAGAATGAGGCCATTGCAAGCATTTCGAGGAAGTACAACACTTATGCCTACCTGGGCCTGGTTGAGAGCAACACTCCTGGAGACTTCCGTTACCTGGATGAGACCCCTGTGAACTATACCAACTGGTATCCCGGGGAGCCCAGGGGTCGGGGCAGAGAAAAGTGTGTGGAGATGTACACAGATGGGACATGGAATGATAGGAACTGCCTGCAGTACCGTTTGGCCATCTGTGAGTTTTGAGCAGACATTTAGGCCACAGGGTAGACAGGATCCTGCATGGCAGCCTCCATCAAAGTTTATTTTTAAATTTAAATTTCAACAAAATGTATTTGTGATTATTAGATCCAAAGGCATTTTTAATCACTTCATTCCCCAGATGGTTCCTAACTCTTCTCCTATAATCACTAATCCTTGACACTGCCCTGGGAGCCCCTTCTCAGCACTGCAACTTAGGTATCCACTCCCGACCTTGAACTTCACTATGAGACAGAGATGGAGAACAATTTGTTCTTCATCTTCTCCAGTTTTTTTCCATTTATAAATGGCAACCATGAGGCCTCAAGTTAGAAAAATCCTCTAAAATCACAGAGTGCCTGCTTCCTGCTCCTCTCATCTTCCCCTGAAACTCTCCCCTTTCCCAGTCCCATGAAAATTTAGAAATCTTGGTTAAACACAGTGATAAAGATAGACTTCCAGAAAATTACAAATGTGAGGAGCGAAGGTCACCTTCAGGATTACTCAACATCCTGGTTCTCTGGGGCATACCTGCTCTCTTCCATGAGGTTAGAGAGTCAGAGGGTGGCCCAGCATGGAGCTGATAGAACTTAGTCTTCCAGATTGGTAATCACTCCCTTGAGTTTTCGGGTTCCTGCTCAACCACTGATCAACAGAAACCAGCCTAGGCCTCTGATGAAGAACCTTCCCACCCCAGGCCTGACCAAAGTAGCTTCCTGCTGATCCCCCACCTCACCTCAGATCTCCATGAGGCATTTACACTATCAACCCCAGCACTGGCTCTGCTTTCTTCTTTAATTTTATTCAATCAGGATTTCATTAAAATCAACTGTGCATAAAATCTTGGGCTCTGTCTTGGTGTGGGTAAAGGTATCCTGTACCTCTTTGGGATATTTAATTTTCCTGAGCCAATTTCTTCATTTTGAATGAAGATAAAATATTTGTTGCCATTGCTCCAACTACTCAAATCACAATCATAACTGCTACTACTACAAAATGACACAGTTTCTCAAGCACAAACTATGCACCAATCACCTTGACAGACACTTGTAATGCTTCTTATGAAATGTTATTTAATCTTTAGCAATTTCATGGGAACAGCATTATTTTTCCCATTTTTAAAATGAGAACATGGATACTTAGCAAAGTCAAATGTTTTGACTATTACAATGGCAGAGGTTGGATTCAAATCCATCTACTCCACCTGAACCTCACATTCGTAATAACCCCACCATTGAGCTGAGTAGAGATGACTTAAGTGCAATAAATTATGAGTGTGTTAACATGAATTTCCATTGCTTTAGTTTCATTTCTTTTTATTTATGTAAATGAAGTGAGTTCTGCCTCTGAGCCCCGACTTGCCCGAAGAATGAAAAATCCAATCTTAGGATATGCTTTCTTTGTTTGGTGGGTGGAACAAATTGATCTTCTCCTTCAGGCTGTACACAGGAATGGGGGCTACAGAAACATCTGAAAGAACATATAGACATCAGTGTTGGCTGCCAGTGTGTAGATAATTCCTGGTCTGAGTCCACAACACCCATTTGCAGTTGGTGACATCATGCCTTCCATACTCCACTTAGTCACCTGGATGTTTTCTGCAGCACAATGTTGGAAGTGGCACTCAGGGCATGGTCCCAGGTCTTGTGTCAAGTCTGTAGGAATGGGACTATGCCTCATGCCCTAGGGACACATGGTAATGGGACCGGGACCGTGTCCCATGAGGGGCAACCACATAAATATCTTGTCTCTAGAAAGGCTCCCCCTTCTCCCACCCTCACACTTTGAACACTCTTTCTCACTGCATGAATTCTTTCCCTGAGCAAAATTTCTACATCAAAACCCCAAAGACAGGTGGGAATAGAATGTTATTTCTTATTCTATGATGAATATTGGTTTTTAAGCTAATTATCCTCCCATATGGACTCAGAATCCAGTATACAAATTATAGAGTCTTACTATCACAATATAAAATTTAAATTTTTTTTAAATCAAGGAAGCTTTTTAATATATAAACTATCTAAGCCTCTGAAAATTGATATATCCTTATTTTTTATTAAATTTATTTATTTTATGATTTTATTTGATATTGTTACTATGGTATTTTAAATCACATTTTAAATTAATAATTGCTTGTTTGTGAGAAAACTTGCCTTATTTTTTATTCATATTACACCCAACCATCTTTTTGGATTCTCATTCCCCCCCCCCCCATTCTTTTTGAATAATTGACTCTTTTATGTTTTATAAATATATGATTATATTTACAAATGATGGAAATTTTGCTCTTTTTTATGGTATTCATAATTCCTATATTTGAATTTTTATCTTTTGATCGGGTCCAGGAGCCCCTATACATTGTTGAAGAGATCCAATAACAACATGAGTTTCTTATTGTGACATGGGAACATTTTAAATATTTCACAGTTGAAAATACTGCTTGTTCTAGTTTCTGATAGATACTTTGTAATTTTTTATCATGACTGTGTACTGAAATTTATCAGATGATTTATGGCATTTCCTTTAGTCTGTTCACAGTGTGTAAGGGGTGAGGTGAGCCATTTCTCATTTTTGCTGATGAATATCTGGAGTGCACAGCCGAGATTGACAGGTTCCAAGTGCCTCATATTTTAAACCTGGAGAAATACCCCCAGCATCCACTTCTTGACCTGAAAGAAAGGAACTATGCAGTAGAATCGGTTTAATAATTATATTTCTTTGGTCAGCATAAGGATTGAAAAGGGAAAGGAAGGTGACCCATCTTGGGTATCACCTGTGCTCTCACAGTGGAAATTATCCTTTCCCTTTCAGGACACCTAAGGCAGGTACAGGAGATCATTCCTTATTCTAAAAGTATTGAAGTGCTAAACCAACAGAGAGCCTTATTTTTCTGAGTCATGGAGAAAAAAAGAAAAGAGGAAGGATACAATTGTGAACAGGAGTGTTCTGGGGAAACTTGAGTGGTTTCTCCAGGGCTATGTGAATGCCTTTGTCACAGAAAACTATCTGTGGTTTAAACTCTGTTCATGAGCAAGTTGCTCCCTAAAGCACAGGGGCACCAGCAACAAGACTTCTGGACTGAAGTGTCCACTGACAGGGTAGTGGCCACAGAGCAGGAGGCTCTCAAAGTCCATTTCCTGAGAGGAGCTGTCATTGTAAGCAGCCATTCCAGAAACTTGAGAACCAGTCAGTGTAGGCTGAGAGCAGCTGTGTCCCCACTGATACGTGGCTGCTCATGGGAGCAGGGAGCGTGCACCTTTGACATCAATGTTCTCTCTATTCTCCACCTATCTAAAGATTCAAGAGAGGAAGCTGCTACCCACCCTTAACATCAAGAAGCAACAGCATCAAACCTAGCTATCACTCCATGGCCCTGGTGGTGAAGAATCAGACATTGACGAGAGAGAGAGAGA